CACAGCTGTGAACGAGGAGAGGCCACGGGGCTGTGGGGGCGACCAGGGCCTCTGGGGGGACAAGACCAGTCGCTCCCCCTCCAGAACTCGTGCTGGGGTCACAGTGGGGGTGATGCCCAGGGTCTGCAGAGGCTGCTCTGTCCCCCAAGAACATTCTGGGGTTTCCCATGTGATCACCTCCTGAGGGCCTGTGGCCAGAGTCATTACTGGGTGGGACCTCTCTATTTAGGTGTCCATCTCCCGGAGTCTGGTCTGAACAGCGCTCAGATCCTCATGGTGTTGGCATCGGTGTTTCCAGGGAAACATGGATCTGTGTGTGGACTGAGGGGAGGACACGCCCTGCTCCCCTCGGAGCTGACACCACGGGGTCATGTATCAAATGGACATTGGGAATCAGGTCCTGCTTAGGCCCTGGGTCAGGCTAGGCTGCTAGCAGTTTGGACCAGGATTGCTCTTCTGACCTGGCCAAGGCCACTGAGTGTGGAGCAGGGTCAGTACAGGAACAGGAAGCCTTTGGTTTTATAAAGCATATTTAGTCAGAAAGCGGGTTTCACCTGATCTCCTGAAAAAACATAAGTTTTCAACCCTCTCACAGTTAGGAATATAATGTAAATAGTTCACACTCTGGCAACGCTGCACATGGAAATGAAGTGGGAGCTGTGGGCTCATGACCACATGGGAGGGAGCCTGTTATTTCCATCCTGGGCGACCTGACCTCCATGGAAGGGTCTGAGCTGGGGACTGAGGCCCACATGGCCCTTTGTGGGGAACAGCAGGTCACCCCGTCCATGGACATTCCTGATTGTCAGCCTTCCCTCCAGATCCCTGCACACAGCACAGCGTTATGGCTCAGGAGGTCCATGGAAATGACCATTCCACTGAGAAGGGTTCTGACAGCAGCATTTATTTATTTATTACTAGAGGCCCAATGCAGGAAAATCGTGCACTCAGGGGATTCCTCAGCCCGGCCTGCACCCTCTCATGGTCTGGGAGTCCTTGGGGTATGTCCAACTGTCGGCTGAGTACTGCTCCCTGTGGGGAGCCAGCCATGAGCCCTGTTTCTGGCTGAGAAGCCCTCCCCTATGGACCAGCCTGCAATTAGCATCTGCCCCCTGGTGGTCAGTATGCGTCACAGTGACTGGTCATTTTGCCTTTTGGTCGATTTGCATTTTAGCCTTTTGCTACATAGGATTATTTTTAAAAATATTTTTATTGATTTCAGAGAGGAAGGCAGAGTGAAAGAGAGATGGAACAATCAATGATGAGAGACAGTCATTGACCGGCTGCCTCCTTCATGCCCCTTACTGGGTATACAGCCCATAACCAAGGCACGATGTGCCCTTAACCCAATCAAACTAGGACCTCTCATCTGCAGACCCAGGAAATATCCACTGAGCCACACCAGCGAGGGCCAGAAACGTTTATTTAAAGTTCAAAGGGCCCGTTGTCGTCAGGACACTGACGGGTGATAAATGTGTCTGGGAGCCCAGGTTCCTGTAAACTGTGCTTCTATTGAACATGGAGGGGTCACTGTGGAGCTGATGTGGCTGCTGTTACAGACGTTCCCGCTCACGGTGTCCAGGCCCCTCCCGGGGGCCGTCCCGATGCACCCACACTCCTCATGGGCCTCCTGCTCCTGGACATGACCCATGGCTGACAGGGCTCAGGTGGGATCGTCCACAGGTGCCCGAAGCTGCCCCTGCTCTCGCTCCACACAGACGGGCAGCCGTGCTCAGGGCTTGGTCTGCAGCCCTCGGGGCTGGAGGAGAGGGTGACACAGGGAGGTTTCTGTCCCACTTCCCCATCCGCCTGTGTCACTGTGAGCTTTAGCATTCTTCTCCCACACCGCACAATAATAGTCGGCCTCGTCCTGGGCCTGGGCCCCGCTGATGGTAAGGGTGTCCGTGTCCCCTGAGTCAGAGCCAGAGAATCGGTCAGGGATCGTTGAGGTCCTGTTTTTGTTACCATAGACGACCAGCACGGGGGCCTGGCCGGGCTTCTGCTGGTACCAGCTTAGATAGACTTTTTTTACGAGTTCTCCCTGGCAGGTGATCCTGGCCGTCTGTCCTAAGGCCACAGACACTGCTGGGGTCTGAGTCACTTCTGAAGAGGCCACGGGACCTGTAAGAGAAGAGAGGAGAGGAGAGGAGAGGAGAGGTGAGTGTGGGCATGAGGCTCTCAGTCCCAGAGGCCCACACCCCGCAGCGTCCCCTGGGCTGAGCTGAAGGTCATGGCCAGGCTGCTCCCTGGTTGCTGGGCCTGAGCCTGGGGGCAGCACCTGTGCAGAGTGTGAGGAGGGGGAGCAGGAGGGTCCAGGCCATGGTGAGGCTGCCAGGCTCTGCTCTGAGCCCTCAGCTGGGGTGTGGTCTTCAAGGCTCCTCACCCCTGGGTGGGCGGGGCCTCATGCAAATCCACTTCCTTCCTCCTGGGCCTCAGGGGTGTCTCCCTGCTGAGCAGCACAGGGCTCAGTGGAGGAGGCTGTGCCAGGGCTCCATGCACAGGCCTGAGCCAGGTTCCCAAGGCCCTGTGCTGTCCAGTTAGAAAGGTCTGACCGGCCGGTGTGGCCAGTGGATGCACATTGACCCATGAACCAGGGAGTCCTGGTTCAATTACAAGTCAGGGACCATGCCTGGGTTGGGGGCTGGATCCCCAGTAGGAGGGTGCAGGAGGCTGTTAATCAGGGATTCTCTCCTCATTGACTTTTCTATCTCCCTCTCCCTACTTTGTCTGAAATAAATAAAACATTCTTTTTTAAAAAGAGATAGTTCTGACCCCTGACCCAGCACTGCTGTCCTCATGTCTGGTGAGGACTCACCCTCAGGGCGGGGCTGCGGATCTGGGAGGAGCCTGTGGGGACAGTGGTCATGCTGGTGTGGGAGAGGACAGGATCCCATGGCCAGAGGCAGAGCAATTGCTCATGTGCCTCTCAGGTGACCTTGTTTTTGAAACAGGCAGCAGAGAGAAGTTCGTGATAACAACACATCCAATGAGTGACCAGTGCAGAGAGGACAGGAGGAAACATGAAATTTAGCCAAAGAATCACAGCCCAGGAGGACACAGGCAGATCCCAGAGCAGGCGCGTCAGGAAGAGGGTGTGTGATGGCCATGCGCACAGGGGAGGGCGTGCATCCTCAGCTGTTAGGGAAACACCAGCGAAGCCCCAGGGAGACACGACCACACACGGGTCAGGGGCTCCCGTGACACAGGGACCCCGGTGCCGGCAGGGGCGGGAGGAAGGGAGGCGGGTGCAGGGACAGTGGGAACGGGAAAGGGTCTGTGACTGTGGGAAGGCGCCTCACAGCCTCTCGGGGACTGAGACTCGCACTCAGCACACAGCCCAGCAGCTGTGCTCCGGGCACTCATTTCAGAGGGAGGCCTGTGCTCACAGGGACACTGTGTACAGAGGTCATGGCCCCGCGGGCACCACGTCCACGGGGGAAGCCACGGAGGCCTCTGCCCCTCCTGCGTGGACGGGTTAACAGATGTCAGTCCCCCCAGAGCAAGGACACTACTCAGCAATGACAAGGAAGGAGCTCTTTTTACAATACATGTATTTTTATTGATTTCAGAGAGGAAGGGAGTGGGAGAGAGAGAGAGAGAGAGAGAGTGAGTGTGGTAAAGGATCACACGGGGCCTTGTTTGGGACAAAGTCACCACAGCCCTTTAGAGAACAGCCCTGCACAGGGGAGGGGGACGGGGTGGCTCGGGGACCCTGTGCCTCCAGCTCCTGGGTTGACAGAGGTCACTGCGGGGTCAGCCCTGATCCATCTCCTCCTGCTCCCTGTCCCTCCCTCCTCGGGGACCAGCTCCTCCTCCCCTCCCACCCCTGGGGGGTCACCCAGGCCCTGGGGCAGCTTCTGGACCTTCATCTCAGAACAAGCCACGCCCAGGGACCCGGGCGAGTGAGTGCACAGCTGCTCCCTGCGGCCTGGGTGGTGAGGGTGAGTGAAAGGCGCTGCATTTCAGATTCCAGAGAACCAGGCAGGAGGCCAGCCCGGCCCCTCCCCTGGGCTCCCCTTGTGATGCAATTGAGGGGGATCCCCCACAGGAGTCCCCTCCAGCGGGAAGGAGGCCACAGGTTTCCCTCTTCAGTGTCCCTGCCCCCAGGCCCTGCTGCCCTCCCAGGGGACATGGCCTTGACCTGACCTTGGGAAAGGCCTGGGCGGAGGGGGAGCCTGTCTTGGCCCCACAAGCAGATGCTCTGGCACAGCGGGAGGAGCCAGGCCCTGCTCCAGGCTGGTCCTGCTCAGACCTCCTCACAGGCCCCCACCTCCCTCCTGGGCCCGGTGCTGAGCTCCCCACAGGTCAGGGCTCTGTCCTGCCTCCCTGAGGACCAAATGCTTCCTGCTCAGCCCCCTTCCTGCCAGGCCCCTGTCTGAGTCCGTGCTGCAACCAGAGTGAAGGCGTTCACTGCCATGTCTTCCACAGTCACCAATGGGACCCCAAGATCAGGGCTCATCCCCTGACTAGATCCCCAGGTTGGAGCGCAGGGCCTGAGGCAGGGGGACTCAGTCATCGCTGCCCCGCCCCTCTCTCAGTGTTTTCCCTCCTGGGCAGGCAGGTCTCCCAGCATGGTCCCCACAGGCCTGAAGGTGAAAACACTCCTGCTGTCTCATCCCAGGTACCTACGTGGTGCCCACACAGGCCTCTCCTCAGGGCTCTCAGCAGGAGGAGGTGCAAGATGAGGGGGTGCAAGGAGGAGACTCATGGGCTCAGGGTCCTGGGGAGGGGCAGGGAGTCCACCCTCCAGACCTGTGGGAGGAGCCCAGGGAGGGAGGTTTTTCTCTCCTTAATCCACCATTTCCATCAACAGGAACAGAGTCCCTGGGAGGACAGAGGACCCGCTGAGTCCCCCAGCGCTGCAGGGGCCGGGCCAGGCCCTGGAGGACTCCTGACCCTGAGGCCTGACCTACAGCTGCTCAGACAGCGGGTGAGTGTGGGCACCAGGCCCGGCGGGCAGGATTTTGTCCCACTTCCCCACCCGCCTGTGTCACTGTGAGTCACTGCCAGGTGCTCTCACTGCCATAAGGTACACCACAGTAATACTCTCCCTCGTCCTCAGACTGCAGGTTGGAGATGGTTAAGTAGCGGTCGGCCCCGGAGCTCGAGCCTGAGAAGCGATCGGGGATCCCGTCCCCCTTGGTGTGGCTTCCGTCGCTGTTAACCTTCATCAAATACCGAGGGGCCTGTCCTGGGCTCTGCTGATACCAGTGAATAAAGTAGTTGCTGTGCTCAGCGCTGAGGGTGCAGGTGAGCTTGGCCGAGGCCCCCAGGGCGGCAGAGGCAGATGGGGGCTGGGTGAGCACAGGATCAGCACAGAGACCTGCGGACAGAAAACACAAGAGCGATGCCCACTGCACCCCGATGAGCAGGCGTCCCTGTTACTGAGCTTGGAGGGAGAATCGGGGGCAGGACCCCAGGGGCTGTGGCCGCTCTGACCTGTGGAGACGACGAGGGGCAGGAGGTAGAGGGGAAGCCAGGCCATGGTGGGAGGGTCCTGAGCGCTGCCTGCGGCTGCCCAGCTGGCACTGGCCCTGCCAGCTCCTGTCTTATCCTCTCTGCCTGCAGCTCAGGAGGGAGGAGCAGGGATGCAAATCTGCTCTCTGGGCCCAGCCAGGGTCTGTCTCAGCTGCTGGCCCCGCCCTGAGCCCAGGGCCTCCTGCGGGGCCTCCCCTGGGGCAGAGGGCAGGTGTGGGTTTCATTGCTAAGAGCTGGTTGGCCCAACAGAAGGGTCTTCAAAGGAGCTCAGTCCTGCTCTTTGCACTTGACTCAGCCCAGGGGACTCTGACCTCTAAAGGCCCCAAACCAGGACCCACAGCGCCCCCTGGTGTCCCCGGGGTGAATGTCACCTGCCTGTGCAGCTGGTTCATCACCATGACTGCTTCTGAGAGCTTCCTGGAGGCTGACAGGTGGGGAGTGTGTCCCTGGGCCCCTCACTCAGCGTCACAGGAGCCCACACCCTCCTCTGCTGGGGCCCAGCCTCTCCTCCAGGCCAATGAGGAGGGAGCGTCCTGGGATGTGAATGATTTTCCCAGAATCCCCCAGACAGAGCTGATGGGTCAAGACTCCAATGGGGGAGACTGACCTCAGAGCCTGACCTGTCAGCCCCCTCCCTGCCCTGCTCTCCCCCCCAGACCCCCCCTCCAACGCTCTAGGCCTCCTGAGCCCTCCTGTCCCGCCCTCTTTTCTCTATTCAGGTGTCTGTCCTCCCTGAGTCTGGGTGAACAGCGCTCAGATCTTCATGGTGTTGGCATCGGTCTTTCCCTGGGAAACAAGGAACTGTGTGTAGACTGAGGTGGGGACACTCCCCTGCTCTCTCTGGGGCTGACACAACGGGGTCATGTGTCAAAGACACATGGAGTCAGGTCCTGCTTAGGCCCTGGGTCAGGCTAGGCTGCGAGCCCTTTGGACCAGGATTGCTCTTCTGACCTAGCCAAGGCCACTGAGTGTGGAGCAGGGTCAGGACAGGAAGAGGAAGCCTTTGAGTTCATAAAGCACATTTGGTCAGAAAGCAGGTTTCACCTGATCTCCTGAAGGAATTGAAGTTTTGAAACCTAGCACTGCTGAGAACGTAATGTCACTAATTGACTCCCTCATGCTGGTGACGCTGGACATGGAAATGAAGTGGGAGGCGCTTGGTGACTCATGAGCACAGACAGACAGACCCCTGGCCACTGCTCAGCGTTTGGTCTAAAGAGGGAACTGACATGAGCCCAGGGCACCTGCCTCAGACACGCCCCCTGCTGCTCCCAGCTGAGGGGGCACCAGCTCCCCTCTCCCTTCCCCCCCGATGCTGCCCCTCCTCACACCCACACCTCAGGGTCTCCCCAGGGGCCCTGCTGGCCACTCCTGCTGCCCAGTCCTCACCCCTGAGCTGTGGGCTCGTGACCACGTGGGAGGGAGCCTGTTAGTTCCGTCCTGGGCGACCTGACCTTCATGGAAGGGTCTGAGCTGGGGACTGAGGCCCACATGCCCTTTGTGGGGAACAGCAGGTCACCCCCGTTCATGGACATTCCTGATTGTCAGCCTTCCCTCCAGATCCCTGCGCACAGCACAGCGTCATGGCTCAGGGATGTTCATGGAAATGACCTTCCCACCGAGAAGGACACTTCCAGCAGCATTTATTTATATTTATTTTTAAAATATATTTTTATTGACTTTAGAGATGGACTGAAAGGGAGAGAGATAAACATCAATGATGAGAGAGAATCATTGATCCGCTTCCTCCGGCACGCCCCCTCTTGGGGATTGAGCCCGCAACTGGGTCACATACCTTCAGCAGAATCAGACTCGGGACCCCTCATCTGCGGGCTGATGCTCTACCCACTGAGCCACACCAGCGAGGCCCAGCAACTTTTATTTTAAAGTTCAAAGGACCCATTGTCATCAGGACACTGACGGGTGATAAATGTGTCTGGGAGCCCAGGTTCCTGTAAACTGTGCTTCTATTGAACATGGAGGGGTCACTGTGGAGCTGATGTGGCTGCTGTTACAGACGTTCCCGCTCACGGTGTCCAGGCCCCTCCCGGGGGCCGTCCCGATGCACCCACACTCCTCATGGGCCTCCTGCTCCCGGACATGACCCATGGCTGACAGGGCTCCATGTGGGATCGTCCACAGGCGCCCGAAGCTGCCCCTGCTCTCGCTCGACACAGACGGGCAGCCGTGCTCAGGGCTTGGTCTGCAGCCCTCGGGGCTGGAGGAGAGGGTGACACAGGGAGGTTTCTGTCCCACTTCCCCATCCGCCTGTGTCACTGTGAGCATTACTACTGTCATCCCACGCTGAACAGTAATAGTCTGCCTCGTCCTGGGCCTGGGCCCCGCTGATGGTCAGGGTGACTGTGTCATCTGAGCTGGAGCCAGAGAATCGGTCAGGGATTCCCGAGGGCCGGCCGATATCATCATAGATGACCAGCACGGGGGCCTGGCCGGGCTTCTGCTGGTACCAGTGGACACTTTTAATTCCAATGCTGTTTCCCCCACATGTGAGCCTGGCCGTCTGTCCCGGGCTCACCGACACCGAGGGCGGCTGCGTCAGCTCATAGGAGGCCACAGAGGCTGCAGGAGGAAGAGGAGGCAGGAGGGTGAGAGCCCCTTCCCAGGCACCCCCGTCCAGCCCCGCCCGCCTGAGCTCCAGGGGTTCCCAGGCCTCAGGCGCCCTCTCACCCCCTCAGCCCAGGTGGCCTGGGGCTCCCGGGGATGGAGCCTCTGAGCACTGAGCCCCCCTTCCTGCTGCAGGGGAGCCCTCAGGCCCTCAGAGCCCGTGAGCACAGGGGGCGCCTCCCCCAGCCCTGAGCCAGCAGCAGGGCCTGAGCCTCCTGCCCCACAGGCAGCGCCCCTGAGCTCAGAGGCAGCCAGGCGGGTGCAGGCCCTGGGGCTGGGAGGGTGTGAGCCGGGCAGCACCTGTGCAGTGAGCCAGGAGGCCGAGGAGGAGAGGGGTCCAGGCCATGGTGGGCGCCCTGACTCTGCTCCCTGAGGCCCAGGCTGCAGGGCTCCTCCCAGGCCTCTCTTATCCCCTTGGACACAGCTGCGGGGCATGCAAATCAGCCAGGCCCAGGGGCTGCTGGGAGCTGGTGGCTTCTGAGAAGGGCTCAGCCCAGGGACACAGGGAGGGAGGGTCAGACCTGGCAGTCTCGCCCTCGCCCAGGGGATTCTGTGTTATTCTGGAACCATCCTGTGGGGTGGACATCCTGGCCTCGGGCCTGTGCTGGCCTGGCCCCAGCAGAGCTCAGAGGGGAGGCCTGTCTGCAGGTGTGAGCCCGGGAGAGAAGGTCCCTGGAGAGGTGAGCGCGTGAGCCTGAGGTCCAGGCAGGGGCCGCCCCAGGCCCGGTGTGTGCGCATCAGAACCGGAACACGTGCCCACCTGGCTAATGGCACATGGGCTTTCAGGAGCCATTGAGGAGCTGTACGTGTCTGAGCTCGGTGAGCGCTCAGGGCAGGTCAGAGATGCTGGGCCTCAGTGTCCCCAGGTGCCTGGTGCCCGGGGAGGCTCAGGGCTGAGGAAGGTGTGACAGCTGGAGGTTTCGCAGGAACAGGGCGGGCAGAGGCTGGAGAGGAGTGAGGGGCCTGGACCTGAGCTGGAGAAACAGGCGAATCCCCCAGGAACCAGGGGGGAGAGACACAGCCAGAAGGTCCCAGGGGTGCCAAAGGCGATGCTGCAGGAACCCCCTGCTCTCTCTGCAGGTGGGAGGGTGGGGGGAGTCATCCCTGTGAAGGTTAGAACCCCTCAGGCCAGGCCCTCCCAGGCACCAGGAGGTGGGAGGTGGTCTGTGCTGCCCCCTGGTGGCCGCTGCTCTCTGGCTGCTGGGGGTGCAGGTGCCCTCTGTCCAGGTGGAGATCCTGAGCCTCCTGCTCAGGGGAAACTCCCTGATCCCTGAACTGCGGGTCCCAGGGGAGGGTTGCTGGTCTCTCCTTGGCCACGGCCGGTCTCAGGACCAGGCACCAGAAGCTCAGGTCGCCCAGGAACTGGGAAGGGGTGCATTTGGAGGATGGGGTTCGGGCCCCCCTGCAGCATCACTGCTCCTATCCTGGGGTGGCGGGTTCTGGGGTTGGACTGGGGGACACAGGACTTAAGGACTGACTCTCAGTGGTGCTGGCTGCTGGTGCAGGTCAAACAGCACTGTGTCCTGGTTCTGCCAGGATCATTTCTCTCAGTATCGATGTCTGAGAGAGTGTTACTTCCCCTTCTCTTTTGAAAGACAGTTTCGCTGGGCAGAGACGTGGAAGTGGATGGCTTTTTGTGGTTTTGTTTTTACTTTTAGTTTTTTCAGGGCATCGCTTCACTCTCTCCTCGTTTGTGCTGTTTTCAAGGAGGGACCTGTGGGGATCTCTAGGTTCCTCTCTGTGGAATGTGTCCTTTTCCTGATGCTGTGAGGGTTTACCCTTCTGTGCTGGTTTTAAGGAATTGGATCATGTTTGTGCTGATGTTTCCTGTGTGTGTGTGTGTGTGTGTCACAAATTACATGCACATTAGGCTCCTTGACGTTGTCCTGCAGCACACGGAGGTTTGTGTTAGTGATTTCAGTGTCTTGTTCTGTCGGTGGTTTTATCTCTTGTCTATAGATTCTCTTCCATGTCACCAACTGATTAATCTTCTCCTTTCCGTTGATCCAACTTCTGTCCACCCATCAAGTGTGATTTTACCTCAGACTCTGGACTTTTCATTTCTACCCATTGAGTTGGGTGTTGTTTTTTCATCTCCCTCGTCTGCAATACCATGTTCAGTCACTCTTTTCCCTCCTGAACAAATGGAATGTGGACTTTTGAAGTTCTTGTCTACAAAGAAAAAAAAAAAGACCGTACCCTTTTATGTAATGCTGTTTACTTTGAATTTATATTAGTTCACACAAACACTCCATCCATGCTTTTGTTCCGGCCCTCCGGTCCAGTTTAAGAACCCATTGTGGCCCTTGAGTCTAAAAGTTTGCCCACCCCTGCTCCAGCCTCTACCTGGTTCCCGGAGCTCTCCGTGGTGCTGAAGGAGACAGTGCTGAAAATCCCCTGAGGTATCAGTTCCCGCGTCTCAGATTGGCTAATGTGAAAGAAGGGATGCCCCCCACTTCAGGTGAGGGTGTGGAGAACCGGGGTCACTCACCCGTGGCTGCTGCCCGTGGGAAATGGTACAGACAGTCGGGAAAGAGTGGGCAGCTGCTAGAAGTGCTACACGTGTCACTGCCACACAACCCCAAGGACCATGTGGGCATTGATTTCAGAGAAGCGACAATATATGTTCACAGAGAAAGGACAGGATGCTGTTCCCGGCACCCGTGGGCATGACGTGACAAGAGAACATGAGATGCCCTTGCTGGGTGGAGGGTCCACAACTCTGGTCCACCAGGACCATGGAATACGACTCGGCCGTGAACAGGAAGGAACTCAATGCAACAACAGGTGGGAGGAACTTACAGGGGGTTAGGGGAGGTGAAAATGCCCATCTCAGAGGCTACACACTATGGGATTCTATCTCTAATCCTAGATGTCATTTCTGAAATGAAGATCTTTAGACATGAAGAAGCAACTAGTGGAGCCATGAGCTGAGGGCAGGGAAGGGACCTTGAGGGGAGAGGTGGGTTTGTTATAAAAAGTAAAATGTGGGAGGCCCTAGTGGGGAGAGAAGGTTGTTGTGTCTTCATGCTGTTGTGGATCCATGAAGCTAAATGAGGGATTAAATCCCATAGAACCAAACACACAGACATTCACGCTATGAAGAAGAAAAGAGGGAAAATGAAAGGAAGAGTTAATGACAAGCAACAGCAAAGAGCATAAGGTAGACACAAACGGAAGGATTAAATGGAAAGTAAAGAGAGAGAGAGAGAGAGAGAGAGAGAGAGAGAGAGAGAGAGAATGAGGGGAGGGCCCTCCTCAGCTCGCTCTACTCTGGCCCCGCCTTCCTGTCATTCTCAGCCACATCAGCTTCATGTCACTTCCTGGGCAGGTTGTCACCTGCTTCAGCTGCTGCTTCTAGAGACTGTCCCAAGGCCACCTGCCACTCAAGCCTTTACTTTTCTTATTTATTTATTTATTGTTTGTTTCTTTGTTTGTTTACTATTTATTTAATGTATACTTATTGATTTCAGAGAAGAAGGCAGTGGGAGAGAGAAAGATAGAAACATCAATGCTGAGAGAGAATCATTGATCAGCTGCCTCCTGCAAGCCCCCTACCAGGGATCCAGCCCACAACCTGGGCATGTGCCCTTGATGGGTATCGAACCCTGACCTCCTGGTTTATAGGTCACTGCTCAACCACTGAGCCTCTCCTGTTAGACTATTTTTGTTTTATTAAACAGCTTTATTGAGTGTAATTGATGCCACACTGGAACTTTTGATGGAAACTTGACTTTCTGGGCTCACAGTCACCGGGCCCCTCTGATGCCAAAGCCACAGGTAAGAAACAGACAAAAAAGGGTCAGTTCTCCACACGGATCATCCTTCCCTTTCCCACCAGGGCTGACGTGAGGCCCCTGAGACCCTGACCCTGTCACCCCGTGGCCACAGCAGAGGGTCCCCACGGCCTCTCCGGGGCCCCTTGTCGCCCTGTGACCTGGGATGTGTGCAGGCGGCGCCCTCACAGGCTGGTGCCCGTCTCAGCACAGCAGGGACATCTGCCTCTGCCCCTTCCCTCGCCGACCTCACTCGCACAGGCGTCCCTCTGTCTGTCCGTCGAGGCCACTGCTGACTCTCCCACGTTATGGGCAGCCAGGCCCGGGGAGGCCCTGGGTGAGTGTGGTCCACTCTGGGGTTCCCATTGAACCCGGACCGTCCTCCTGGCCCCTCCCTGCAGGGTGAGGAGTGGGGACCCGTCCTGCAGTGGGACCCAAAAGGCCTCCTTTAGGACTAAGTCACCGCAGCCCTTTAGACAACACCCCTTCACTGGAGGGGGTGGGGGTGGCCCATGAACTCTGTGGCTCCAGCCGCCGGGCTGACAGAGATCACTGTGGGGTCAGCCCTGATCCATCTCCTCCTGCTCCTCCTGCTCCCTGTCCCTCCTCAGTGGGCAAGGTCCTGCCCCGTTGCTCAAAGACCTGGGCAGAGGGGGAGCCTGTCTTGGCCCCACAAGCAGAGGCTCTGGCACAGCGGGAGGAGCCAGGCCCTGCTCCCGGCTGGTCCTGCTCAACCTCCTCACAGGCCCCGCCTCCCTCTTGGGCCCCTGCACTGCGCCCCCCACGGGGTCAGGGCTCTGTCCTGCCACCCTGAGGACCAGACACTTCCTGCTCAGCCCCGTCCTGCCAGGGCCCTGCTTCCATCCATAAAACAGCGGAGGCAACAGACGACGTCCAAGGTTACTTCTGCAGCCCAAGGTCTCTGTTCCTTCCCTGAGCAGAGCCCCTGACAGGAGCCCAGGCCCAGTGGCTCCTGGGAACCTGGTCAGCCCCCCCCCTCAGGGGTACTGTCTGCAGGGTCAGATGTGGTCTGTCCCAGCTCCTGCCCACAGGTGAGGGGGGATCAGAATGTAAG